AAATACATACAAACAAGGGCATCAGTTATCCAACACCCCCCCTGACTCGATGCCCTACGAGTCATTTCCAGAGACTTCCTCGTCCGTAAGATCCTTCTGGTCAGGTTCTTCTGACCCCCCCTGATTTCCGTCCTTGTCCAGTTCGATCATGCCCATCATAGCAGTGAGTTGTTGAAGACGGACTCTTCCCAAGGGCTTGGTGAGCAAATCCGCAATATTGTAGAGTGTATCAACTCTTTGAGTATCAAGTTCGCCTGATTCAACCCTTTCTCGGATGAAATGATGACGAATGTCAATGTACTTGGTTCTGTTGTGAAATTCTGGGTTCCTTGATAGTTTTCGTGCTCCTTCATTGTCAACATAGAGGGTAACTGCTTCAAGACTAGGCAGGAGTCGAAGGTCGTTGACGAATCCCCTAATCCATATAGCTTCCTTGGCCGCCTCTGATGCGGCGACGTATTCAGCGTCAGTTGTCGACAAGGCCACAGTCTTTTGTCGCTGTGATGACCAGGAGATAGGGGCATTTCCAAGCAGAAAAATCCACCCAGTAGTCGACCGTCGTGAGTCAAGGCATCCGCCGAAGTCAGAGTCTGCGAATCCAACCAAGTTCAGCGACCCATCTCCCTTGCGGTATCGGAATCCAGTTTTTGCCGTTCGTTTGAGATAGGCAAATATCTCATTCAGAGCTTCATGATGATCTCTTGATGGGTTTGACATATATCTAGCGCAGAAATTTGCAGCAAAGCAGATGTCTGGACGAGATTGTCCTGCCAGATAAACCAGCGATCCGACTTTCTGTTGATAGTCGGTGATAAGATCCTCATTACTCTCGGAAACAGGGTTTTTTGTCAGAGAAAGCCCAGCAGTCAGTGGAGTAGACTTAGATTTGATGTTGTCCAGGTCAAAGCGTCGAAGCATCTGATTAATATATTTCTCCTGATGGATCGTAACACCATTTTCATCTTGGAGAACGTGCATGCCAAGATACCACTCACAGAGTCCTTCGTCCTTCATTTGAAAGGAATCTTCAAGTTTCATTCTCAGCTTGGTGGCGATTTCATCTGATGGGGCCAAAATGATGCAGTCATCAACCCAGACACCCATCACGATTCGCCATTCGTCGTGAATGAAGACACATGCATCATAGGATGACTTTCGGAACCCCCACTTTGCAATCTCAGAACAGAGTTTCTCGTACCACACTCTCGGTGCTTGCTTCAGTCCGTAAAGGCTTTTGACGACTTGTAAGACTTTTCCTTTTGGCAACTTCCAACCAGGCGGTGGCTTCATAAAAATCTTCTCCTTGACTTTTCCGTTCAGGAAGGCTGTAACAACATCCATCATGAAGATTTTCCATCCCAGACGGGCAGCAAGTGCAAAGAGAATTCTGTATGAAGTGGCTTTGATGACTGCGCTGAAGGTTTCTTCGTAGTCTATTCCTTCTCTCTGTGCGTATCCTTTAATGACAAGTCTCGCTTTGTATCTTTTGATCACTCCGAATTGATTGAGTTTCTTCTTGAAGACCCATCGCGAGTGCAGTGGCACGCATTCTTCCGGGATTTCCGATAGGTCAACTATGAGGAAAGTTCCGTTTTCGTCATGACTTTGTTTCTCAGCGTAAATGGCACGCTCCCAGTGGCTGCTCTCAGCGCATTTCATGGCAGCGGCATATGTCGTGGGTTCGGGTTCAGATGCGAGGTCCTTCTGCACGTGAAGAACATGTTTGTTAGAGGAGAAAAAGGTAATGTCGTCGTCAATATCATTTTCCGGTTGAAAATCAGAGTGTGAGTCTGAGTCAGACAGATTGTTGTCACTTTGTGCGTGAGTTGGAATGTCTACACCTGAGTAGTGGTTGAAGGTGTCGGGGTTACTCTCGTTCGCGTTGTCATTGTGGATCCATATCGTTCGGGAATTTTCAGGCCCTCGGATAATAAGGTGTTCCCCACCATCAATAAGCACTCCGAGTTGTAAGCTCAGATTTCTACTGCTACCCCAGATTTGGAGAACTCCTGCGACTTGATCTGCTGTCAGATTGTTGGAATTATGAAGACCAGCAGCTTCATTCCTGCTTGTCATTTCTGGACCACTGAAGATGTCTCGTAGTTCTTGAAAAGTAGGCGGTGGATGTTGTGGAATCTGGGAGGTGATACTATTGACAAGGGAGTAAAAACCGCACTCCAGATTTCCCACTTCCGTAGGGATTATATTGACATACTCAGGAACAGTGACAGTGGCAGTGTCAGCGTCAGCATTAAGTGTAATGGAGGAATGAAGATGCTTTTCGGTTAATGGAGTATTTTTCTTCTTGTCCCAGTTCTTTGCAAGTAGAGCGTTGATCTTGTTGATGGTAAAATCTTCCCAGTTTTCCTTCAGAACAACTCGACCATTGCTATCAAGCATAAAGGCCGAAGCACTGTACTTTTCAAGGTGATCCTCTCGTCGATAAACGCATCTGGTGTAGGTTGACCTGGCGCACGCCATAACGCAGAGTCGGCATGGTTGTTCCGTATCACAGCGGGCACTAGGAGTAACAATACACCATCGACATGAATCTTCGCTGTATGATTTGAACTTGTCTTTAGCAGCCTGTGTGACCGGGTAAAACTTTTCCATGAGACCCTGTTGCACTATGTACACGCAATTTTTGCCAGCTGCGACACACATATTGCAGGGTCCTTTTCGATCACATTGTCTACCTTTTCTGGTTCGCTTGCATTCCCTGCAGGGTGGCTTTGACATTGTTTCTTGTGAGTTGCATTTAAAGCCACCAGCGCTGCACCTTTGGCAGGGTATTTTTCCATCACACCCAGCGTTTCGCCTGAAACATCGGAAGCACTTCTTAGAGGAGTGAACTCCTCGGAAGCGAACAGTTGCACGTTTACCCCGCTTTAGAGCTGCCTTTTCAGTATGTCTTCTCTTATATAGCTTCCGTTTTTCGAGTTGCTCTGCTCTTTGTTTAACTATGTCTGGATGATCATGCTGAGGAATCCAGCATCTCTTGGTATTTTTGGCGCAGTTGTCGCATTTGTGAGTATCAGCTACGTTGGTCCACACACATCTCCGTCCGTAGACATAACAGAAGTAGCATGGTTCATCGAGGATTTCAGTACCTGGAGCGAGAAGTCTCATTTCTCTCTTGACAATTTGAGATTTGTCATTGTGTTGTTCGGTATCCGATTCATCGGATGAGTCTGGGGGTTTATAGTCCTGAGGCAGTTGCAAGACTGCTGCAAAGTACTTTGACTTCTCAAACACATTGTTATCGCTGGAATGGTATGATTCTGAGGATGGAGGGTTGTCAGGTAGATTTTTATCTGAGCTCTGTCCGTGGGGCTCGTGATGTTCATCTCCTTCCTCCTCTTCATCGGTTTCCCAGTCGTCTTCACAAGCGTGTTCTGAGGGGTTTGCTAGGTCTGATCTGTCAGAGTCAGATTCATGCCAGAAGTCATCAATAGCTTGATCATCAGGTTGGTTGTCCTGAGAAGGTTCCTCCTGTATAGAGGAAGGAGAAGGGATGGTAGGGATTTGAGATCCCTCGCGACCAACCCTGTCATTGTATGATAGTCCATCGTGCTCATCTTCAACACCCTGTCCTTGTTGGATTCGGCCAACGCCAACCCGGAATACACGGTGATGTTCGTCGGAGTAGATTCTGTAGATTGACTCACTGTCGCATCCAACAAAATATCCAACCCAACCGCGAGCATGGTGAAGTTTAGGTTTTCCAACTCGGTCAGTCTCAGGCGGCAACGTGACATAGATACGACTTCCCCAGATAGACTCACGTCCAAAAATAGGCTTGATGCCATAGACTGCCTCCCAAGGGGTTGTCTTATTTTTCAGAGCTCGAGTAGGGGAGCGATTTTTCAACCACACGGAATATCTCATAGCCTCAACCCAGAGATTTTCTGGTAGTTTGGTTTCTTGTATAGTCTCCAAAGCTTTTCCAGTGATTATCTTTGTCAGTTGTCCTGAGATAGATTGCTCCTGAATCATTGGAGCAGCCTTTTCGCGAATGATACGGTTCACACGTTCATGTGTCCCTCCCATGTAGTGTGCATAGGGTACTGTAGGTTCAAAGGGTATATGCTTTTTGTTGAGCCATTTCCCTACTGGTCCGTTGGCGAATTCAGTGTCAAATCTGTAACATCGAACAACAATGCCATACGCCACTTCAAGTTGATAGTGGTTGTCTCGGAAGACTGTGAGAAGATCCGATTTTCTCACCATAGGTTTCGCAGTCGTCCAGCGTGTAGCATCGTCAGTGCTAAAGAAGAAATAGAAGGAACCATCATAACCTTCAACAGAGTAGGGTCCCCAGATATCCACATGAATAAGTCCACCGAAGTTCTTTTGTCGTCGCGTGGCAGGGTCACGAGGAATGTGAAGCAGAGCTCGTGACGTCGCACAAATAGGGCAAATGTGCATCATCTGGGCACGGATTTGTTGTTTCGTAAGGGGAATCCCGTTTGAGACATCAAGTAGGTTCACCATGTTCTGGAGACTAAGATGACCCAGTCGTCTGTGCCAGATCCAGACAGGGTGATCATAATTGATACTGCCAACGAATGCAGTTTGAGCTGGTAGAGAGGGTTTCACAGATAGATGATAGAGACCATCAATCAGTAATGCTTGACCAACTTCACAGCCGTCATATTCAAGAGTAACACAGGACTCATTCCATTTTCCGCAAATTTTTGCCCTTTTTGCAAGATAGGACATGCTGACGATGTTGTACTTGGCAGAGGGAGCGTAAGCAGCTTCGAGTATTGTTAGAGGCATGACATCGTCGTCAGTGGTCACAAGTGAGATAGTAACAGAACCACCTCCTTCAATCTGAAGGCACTGAGTGTTTTCGACAGATGACACGGATATGTCTAGGGGTTTGATGGATGAAAACCATCGTTTGTCATTAAAGATGCAGATATCTGCTCCTGAATCTAGAAGAATAGTATCTCGGTCCGAAAATACACCGCCCTCGGCAAGGAGTGCAGATAATCTCCGTTCTATCCTAACAGTTGTGTTTCCCAATAGTAGTTCCCCACTCCCACATCCCAACTCATTCCCATCTGATTCAGGCTGTGGAGAGCTATCAGCTGGGGAAAGGTCGGTGGGGTAGGAGGAGAACATACTGCTGTTGGATGTGTGTGATACCATGGCGTCATGAAGGGCGCCGGCAGATTTGGCCATTGCCACAATGCCTTTTGGTTTGTCAGGTTGTTTGTTAGATGATTTGTTTGGTGTATCACCAGAGGAAGAGTTTTCCTTTTGTTTGTCTTTGATGCGCTGAGGCATCTTCTCTGGATGGGCAATCCAGCAATCTTTTTCTTCGTGGCCTGGCTTGCCGCAGTCTTTGTGAGTACAGACCTTGTTGTTTTTGGGAGCTGTGCCCCCCTTGTTTTTGTTTCCACCAGATTTCTCCTGCTCATGAGAAGCTTCTTCATTCAGGAGTCGATCAAGAAGAAAATGGATGTCTGGTTCGGTTCCGATAGCTTGAGATCGATGAAAATTCCAGAGTTTGGTGAAGTCATTGTAGGACTTGGGTAGACCATGAATGAGGTTTGTGGCCATTTGCGAATCGCTGTAAGGGAGGCCAGCCCTAACGAGGTCTGTCTTCAGGTCTCGGTGTTGATTGATGTAGTCGCTCATGGAGCTACAGTGCGAGAGCTTCAGTGCAGTGATTTTGTCAAGTAGCACAGATCGAGCATATTCGTCTGTCACTCCATATGTGTTTTTGATGTGGTTGACTTGTTGTAGTGGAGAGGCCATATCCTCAATTTCGTTGGCGATGGAAGACACAACGGACTTTGCAATGAGTCTGCGAACAAGTCTAACTCGCTCCTTCTGTCGTTCCCAGCGACGATAGGCTGCCTGCCAGAGGAAAAAGCTTTTGTTGCTGTCGATTTTGAGTTCATCGTCTCGCAGAGCTTCGCCCTTTTTTCGTGTGGAAGGTCCTTTGTATGGAACATCGAAGTAGGCAATGTAGTCTTCTTCTTTTGGTTCCTTCAGAACACTTTCTGTGGTGACAAGGGACCAAAGGTCATGGCCTTTGGCGGCACGATCAAAGTATCGTCGCCATTCGATGTAGTTGGTTTTTCCTTGCAGTTGATGTTCCTCCACCTCGGAGGTATCCAAGGAGTAATGTCCTCCTGACATTTTGCTTCGAAGAGAAGTAAACAGTTGTTGATGTGTTCTCGTATTGGTAGATACGGAAAAAAGAAAGAGGTGCCGACTGATTCAGTGCAGAGAGGCACCCGGGCTCATAACCAGTTAGTGAAAAGGAAAGGCTTAATTCTTCTAAGC